GAGCTCAGTAGTTGTGGCTCACGGGCTCTAGAGTGCAGACTCAGTAGTTGTGGTGCACGGGCTTAGTTTCTCTGCGGCATGTGGGATCTTCCCAGACCAGGGCTCAAACCCGTGTTCCCTGCATTGACAGGCAGATTCTTAACCACTGCACCACCAGGGAAGCCCAGGAGTCTCTATGTTATATTCTTGGGCCAAAATCACAGTGTCCTGAGGACTGTTAACTTTATGAAGAGTCTTGAAATTTGAGAGTGTAAATTCTTCAAAATTTTCTTCTTCTCAACAATTATTTTGGTCATTTATTCTAGGCCCTTTTCATTTCCACTTAAATGTTTAAAAAAGATGAAACCTTTTTGTTAGCCCATGCTCATCCTGTATCAGCTTTTCAGTTAAATGTTTACTTTAGAAACTACAATGTGTATTATTGATTTATTATAGCCATTGAAACATATCACAGTCTAAATGCTAAACAGTCAAAACAAAATCTTAAAAATAGCCTGTGGGTGGTGGTGGGGAAAAGGTAGGAGGCATTTTATCTTCAAAGGAGCAACAGCAAGCATGATGGCTGACTTTTCCACAAAATTATGGAAACCAAAAGATAATGGAATGACGTCTTTTAAGCACTTAAAGAAAAAAGTGCCAATAAAGAATTCTATAGCCAGTGAAAATATCTTTCACAATTTGAGATGAGATAAAGATGTTTCCATACAATAAAAAAGAAAGCTAGTATTCCAGATGGACTATAGTTCCAGGTGGAATCACAGAACTACAGGAAGGAATGAAGACAGCCCCAAAAGGTAATATGTGGATAATTAGCAGCAAATATTTATTTAAGACAAGACTAATAGTAATGTCTTCTTGGTATTATAATGCTGGGAAAAGCAAAATATATGGCAACAGTAGCACAAAAGGCATGGAGGTGTAAGTGGGGTTAAACTGATGGAAAGCTCTTGCATTTGCAGTGAGGAAGGGAGTTATCCTAGTGAAGTTTTTTTGCCTTAAAGTCAATTTATCAGATATTAATATAACTCTTTCTTTTCTGTTACTGGGTACTTGGTCTCCTAACTTTCACTCTTTCAACCTCTCTGTATCCTCATGTTACAGGTATGTTTCTTTTAAACAGCTTATAATTGGATTTTTTAAAAAATACACTTTGGCCATTTTTATCTTTAATGGAGGTTTTAGACTATTTACATTCATTTTAGTTAGTGATATATGGTTTTATTTTCATCATTTATTTTGTATTTTTTATCTTGCCTTTTTTGTTTCTTTTTCTTCTCTCTTCTATTTGATTGAATATTTAATTCTAATTTTCCCTTTATAGTTATACACACTCTTTATTTTATAATTGGCTACCTTAGACCTTTTAACATATATGTTGAACTTATCAAAATTCAAGGTCAATCCATATATTTACCCTACTCCCAAACAATAAAGATTTAAAACTCTTTGACTCAGACTGTTCCTTCCTGACTTTTCTATTCTATTATGGCAATTTTTTTAACCCAATAAAGTATTTTTATTGCTCTTCACAGTCAATGTCTAATTACCTTTGTTGCATATGTACTTTGGTCACCAATTCTCCTTGCATCTAATCTCCCACCTGAGATTGCTTTCATTTTGCCTAACATGCATCCTCTAGAATTTCTTCGAGGGGAGATTTATTAATAGAGACACTTTTATTTTTCCTGCATTCTTGAAAGATATTTCCTTTGGGTATACATATTCAAGGTAAATAATCACATTTTTGCCATGGAATAATGATTCCATTTTCTTCTGGTGACCACTGTTGATACTGATGAAGTAGATGTCAGTCCAATTGCCATTCCTTGGTGGAATATTTGTCTTTTCTCTTTGATACTTTTATTTTTTTTAATTAATTTATTTATTTATTTTTGACTGCATTAGGTCTTCATTGCTGCTCGCGGGCTTTCTCTAGTTGCGACGAGCAGGGGCTACTCTTCATTGTGGTGCATGGGCTTCTAGGCGCACAGGCTTCAGTGGTTGTGGCACATGGGCTCAGTAGTTGTGGCTCGCAGGCTCTAGAGCACAGGCTCAGTAGTTGTGGCACACGGGCTTAGTTGCTCTGCGGCATGTGGATCTTCCTGGACCAGGGATCGAACCCTTGTCCCCTGCAGTGGCAGATGGATTCTCAACCATGGTGCCACCAAGGAAGCCCCTCTTTGGTCCTTTTAATATATTCTCTTATACTTTAGGGCTCTGCACTTTCACTCCCATGTCTTTGAATATTGAGAGGTTTTTATATGTCCTGTTTGGATTTGATGGGCTTGATGAACATGAAGATTGGTATCTTTTTATCAGTTCTTGGAATTCTTGGCCATTATTTCACCAAATATTGCGTCTACTCTGTATGATTAGAATTGAGTTAAACCTTCTCACTCTATTCCCATAATTCTTATCTCTCATTTATAGCTTCTGCTCCTTTTCTCTCAGTGCTACTTTCAGGGTAATTTCTACAACTCTATCTCCCAGTTTATTGATTCTCTCTTTAACTGTGTCTAATCTGTGGTTAAACCCATCCATTGAGTTTTTAATTTCAGTTGAAATTATTTCCATTTACAGTGATTATATTTGGCTTCTTTTCCAAATTTGCTTGGTCATTTCTTTAAATACTCTCCTGCTCCTTACCCATATTTCAGTCTCCTCTTTATTTCTTTAAACATGTTAAGCATACTTATATTCTTTTCAATACTTCCAATATGTGAGGTCCAGTGTGTCTGATTCTTACAGTTGCTGCATTTTGCTTTTTGTTTTTCATTTGGGTCTTATTCATGGGGCCCTGTTTCCTTGTGTGTAATGTGATTCTGATTGTGAACTCAAGCCCCTTGTAGTGGGTTTATTTGGGGGATTTTTTTGAGGCCTGATTTAAAGGTGAGTTTCCCCAGACAGGGTTTATATTCCCTTCCTTCAAGTACATCACAGTGCTGCCCACCCACAACCACTCATCCCATGACCACTCTAAACTAAATTTTCAGGTTGAGACTCTTTGGATCATCCAGGTAGTGTGAACGTGGGCTGAAAACCATGTGTGGACTGGCTTATGGTTATAAATTCTCAGGGAGAATTTTTTCTCCACTCAATGCCAAATTCGTTATAGACAGTTTTCCTGGCTTCACCGGGGGGACCTTGGGGACATGTGGGTCCCTTGGCGTTTTAGCGATAGACTCCGTTAGAATCGCCTCAGTAGACAGGCTGTGACCTTTCAGTGTCCACTGCCTCTTGGAAGGCCATGAACCCAGAAGCTGGTGTTCACCTAAGGTCATCATGGTGAAGGCCCATTTTGGTGCATAGGTACCCACTTGTACTGAGTTATTTTGCCACAGAGAATCCCTTCATTCCTGCCAGGAGGGCATTTTGACAAAGTGATTCTAAAATTAACCTCAAATAAATGAGTGAGAATAGTAGCCAAGGCCTTTGGGGAAAAATCATAGCGAGTCATGATACACGCTGTCCCGCATTTTGATAGTTAATTGTATGTGTCAACTTGATAATTGTATGTGTCTAAGGGATGCCCAGATAGTTATTAAAATATTATTTATGGGAGTGTCTGGTGTTTCTGGAAGACATTAACATTTACATTTGTAGACTGAGTAAAGAAGATGGCCCTCCCCAATGCATGGAGACATCATCCAATCCATCACAGGGGCCTGAATAGAACAAAAAGGTGGAGGAAGGGAGAATTTGCCCTCTGCTTGACTTGGGACATCCATCTTCTCCTGTCCTCAGACATTAGCATTCCTGGGTCTTGGGCCTTGAGACTCAGACTGGGTTTTACACCATTCTCCCCTCCCCCACCCCAGTTCTCAGGCCTTTGAACTCAGACTGAATTACACCATCAGCTTTCCTGGTTCTCCAGCTTGAAGGCAGATCCTGGAACTTCTCAGCCTCTATATAGTGTGAACCAATTACTATAATAAAGTTGTGTGTGTGATAAAGTCGTGTGTATACACATACATATATCCTCGGTAATTTTAAATGTATGACACCAGCTCATGTCACAGCTAGTAAGAATCGGTAAGAATGCACAAAAGGTCTAGGAACAGACTGTGTAAGAGGAGGTTTTCAAATAAGTGGAGCTAGAAAAGATTCTTCACCAAAGAGCCAAGAGCTGGATAACCAGTTAGTCACTTAGGAAAACGGCCAACTAGAGTTCCATCTTACGCCAAAACAGAGTCCAGATGAATCAGAGCGGAATGTAAAAAGTGAAGACATAAAACAACATTAAAAGTAGAGGACAATAGTTACACAAGCTCCAGGTAGGAAAGACATTTGTAAGCATAAAAAGCAAAGGGAAAAAACATTAAAAATATATTTAAACCTCCATCAGTAACAACAACAAAAAAAGAACATGATGAATCACAGTGAAAGGCCAAGGGAAGCTGGAGAAACCTCTGGAAACGACACGAGAGAAATGATCATGTTCCTTGCCTTTACGGAACTATTACCAATTCATAAAGCAAAGGTGTCAAATGACATGAACAGAAAATTAACACCGAAAGTGCTCAAGAAACTTTTGAAATAAACGTCCAAGTTCACTAGTAATCAAGGGAGGGTACATTGAAAGAGCATAGCTTCCAGACTCATCAAGATTTTGTCACTGATAGTCCTCAGCATTGGTGAGCTTTCGGGTGGATGAACGTTGCCTATCCTGATGGCAAACTGCATTGCCATTTCTGAGGACAATGTGTCCAGGGCTCCAAAAGGATTCCAACACTTTTGACTCAGCAAGCCCCTAGGTAAATCCATGACAGTACGACAGTTACTAGCAAAATGATACAAAACAGACAATCAATACCCAAAATAGAAACTGGATACATATATTATGGTATGTCCAAAGGATATGACACATGATGAGCCAAGTATTAAAAATAAGGCTTTGGGCTTCCCTGGTGGCACAGTGGTTGGGAGTCTGCCTGACGATGCAGGGGACACGGGTTCGTGCCCCGGTCCGGGAGGATCCCACGTGCCGTGGAGCCGCTGGGCCTGTGAGCCATGGCCACTGAGTCTGTGCGTCCAGAGCCTGTCCTCTGCAGCTGGAGAGGCCGCAGCAGTGAGAGGCCCGCGTACCACTAAATAAATAAATAAATAAGGCTTTGGATAAAGGCAACACAATGGACAAAGATAGTCTTTCAACAAATGGTGCTGGAACAACTGAACAGCCACGTGCAAAAAAGAAAAAAAAAAAGAATTTAAACACAGACCTTCATGGAAACTATGTCAAAATGCATTACAGACTTAAATGTAAAATGCAAAATTATAAAACCCCTAGAAGATAACACAGGAGAAAATCTAGATGACCTGGGGTACAGTGATGACCTTTTATATAAAACACCAAATCATAATCCATGCAAGAAAGAATTGATGAGCTGGACTTTATTAAAATTAAAAACCTGCTCTGCAAAAAAGAAAGTGACGAGAACAAGAAGACAGGTCACAGACGGGGAGAAAATATTTGCAAAGACACATCTGATAAAGGACTGTTACCCAAAATATACAAAGGACTCTTAAAACTCAGCAATCAGAAAAGGAACAACCTGATTGAAAACGGGGAAAAGACATGAACAGAAACCTCACCAAAGAAGGTAAACGGATGACAGATAAGCGTAGAAGATGCCCCGCCCCATACGTCACGAGGGAAACGCAAATCAAAACAATTATGCGATGAGATACCTCTACGTACCTGTGAGAATGGCCAAAATCAAAAACACTGACAACACCAAATGCTGGGGAGGCTGTGGAGCGGCAGGAACTCTCACCCACGGCTGATGGGTGCAAGGCAAAACGGTACAGCCGCTTTGGAAGACGATTTGGAGCTTTCTTTCAGAACTAAACACACTCTGACCGTATCATCCAGCAATCACGCCCCTTGATAGTTATCCAAATGAACTGGAAACATATCCACACAGAAACTGGCACGCAGATGTTTATAGCACATTTACTCATAATTGCCAAAACTTGGAAGCAACCAAGATGTCCTTCAGAAGGTGAATGGATAAATCAACGGTGGTCCATCCAGACCATGGAATAATATTCAGCACTAAAAAGAAATTAGCTATCAAGTCATAAAAAGACATGCAGGAGGCTTAAATGCACGTTAGTAAGTGAAAGAAGTCGATCTGAAAAGGCTTCAGACTATGTGATTCCAGCTATATGACGTTCTGGAAAAGACGAAACTATGGAGACAGTAAAAACATCAGTGGTTGCCAGGGGGTGGAGGAGGATGAATAGATGGGGGAGTTTCAGGACAGTGAAATTACTCCATACGAAACAGTAATGATGGACAGGTGTCATTGTATATCTGCCCAAATCCATGAATGTCCACCACCAAGAGTGACCTCAGTGTAAACTATGGGCTTTCGGTGATAATGACATGTCAACATAGGTCCATCAGTTGTAACCAATTACCACTCTGGTGGGAGATGGTGAGAGTGGAGGAGGGTTGTAAGTAGAGTTGGGGGGGAGGAGGGATACGGCTGATCTCTGTACTTCCTACTCCGTTTTGCAGTGCACCTAACACTGCTTTGAAAAATAAAGCTTATTAACTAAAAAAATTTAAAAATAAAGGGGAAGAATCAGGGTCTATCTAGCCGCAGGGAAACTGCCCATGACGCCCCTTAGCACGTACCACACAGTAGGTCCCAGTTTTGCAAGAGTTCCCACGGGGAAGCTGCTCCCCGTCACCTCCCCTGGTGGGTCCCTCTCCTGTGATCCTTTGTGGGCCGCACAGTGGCTGCATTGTTGCTCCCCCGATGGCTCAGAGACCCACAGAGACCGCCGCTTCTCTGTGGCCTTTATCTCTCATCGCTCTGCTGTGGAGCAGGGGTGATACCCCACTCCAGATAAAAGCTCAGTAGAAAACGGCCGGTTTTCACTGGCATGAGGAAATCAAACAGCCATTAACCAGACAGGGGTTATTCATCTCTTTACCAGCACTGCTAGCACGTGGAGTCCTCCCGGGGGACCGCCTTGCTGGGGGATGGCAATGTGTCCTCGGCTAGAACAAGGAATGGGCCACCCACCTCCACTCTGGCCAGTATTTTCTTTCTCTAAGAAGAAAAGCGACAGCAATGGGAAGAAGAGCTAATCCATGGTCTTTGTCAGCAAATGGCAATATTGTGGACCGTCAGCTGTCCTGCGGGGTCAGATAACTACTGGGCTTGTCAAATAAAATCAGTCTAAACGGATTTACAAAGAGCCGTCTGAGACGCCAGGAGTCATCCAGGCTCTTAGCCATCTCCTCCTCCCCGATGCGGACGGTGCTTCATGCAGGAAGAATGTGGTGCGTGTTTTCCCAGCTTCCTTCTCGGGCTGCCACCAAAGGTGGGAGTAGGGCAGCCTCTGGGAAGCACAGACTCCTCAGCTTTCAGAAATTCCACAAGTCGATCTGGGACGTGAATCACGCTTCAGGTTTGGAAAAAGTTGCAGAACCAAAGCCGACGGAGGTTCAGGGCCACCCCACCGCGGTGGCAGGCCATGGGGGTAGGCGGGGGCGGTTCTGGAGCCTGGTTGGGCTGAGTCCCTATCTGTTCCATCTGGGGGTGGCAGTGGGGGCTGTCAAGCTATAGACAGCATTTAGTCACAGGTCAGCTTTACCCAAAACTGGATTCATCCCGTTAACTCCCTCAAACCACAAACATGGCCGTTGAGTCCTGGTTCTACAATTCTCTGAGGAGCCTCAAATGATTTCTTGGGGCGTCCTGGAATTCCATGAATAAAACCATTCCTTAAGCAAGCACACAGAAACCCTGGAGTGAATTGTCACTGAAAACTTCTGGAATGTTGGTGAGAGACCAGGAAGGGGGATGGGAGAGTCTCCCTACCCAACAGTCAACGGTGTCCCAGTAATCTAGCTAAGGAGTAAAGTAGCCCTTGCAAGGTGAAAGGTCACGTTTTCCTTTTATAAACAGAAAAACTGAGGCCCAAACAGGGGCTAGGAACCCCCCCACACCCAGGTCTCAGAGTATCATACAACACAAACCACTCACATGCATCTAGTCCAGAAATGTTCACTCTTCCATTTACTCCCTAAAGACCTTCCAAACACATGTATGCATTTTTCAACTTTATAACCAAAATGCACAAGGATTCACATGGAACGAATGTGTCGCTGCCACCCCCCCACCTCGTGACCTCCCCTCAGCGAGTGTCCCCATCTGGCTCTCTTGAAGGGCTGGAGCGCACCCTTCAGGAATATCTTTGGAGAAGGACATGTTGCCTATAGGAGGATGACTTCCTGTTGCCACCTCGCAAGGTTAACGGGCATGGACGGGCATGGAATTTAGGGTCAGGACCTTTATCTTTCAAGTTCACTAGGATGTTGGTCCAGTTGGCGTTTGTGCTGCAGAGAAATCTTGAAACCAACTTGGCTTCTGCTCCTTTGTACAGAAACATTTTTCCCCATCCTGCGAGGATGGAATCATAAGAAGGGGCCTCGGGTCATTCCCAGGAGAAAAAAGGAGCAAATCAGCCCAGATTCCCCCCCACCCCAATCTCCCAGGGTCCTGCTTTGGGTCAAAGGCCAGCCTTGGGTCAGATAGCCTTGACTTTGTTCTGCCGCTAGTTGGGTCCATGACCTTGAGAAGTCATGTTACCTTTCTAAGGACACTTCACTCCTTTTTAGTAAGGGGGGAATATTTCCTTCCTGTATCTGTTAGCACAGGCTAGGTTATTCTGAGTAACAAACATCCCCCAATTTCTTCATAGTTTAAAACAACAAGGGAGTGTTTCTCCCTCAGGCTACATGTACCTCCTGACACTTGCACACAGTGACCAGACACTGGCCCATCACCTGTTCCATGGCAGGAGAAATGACCAGCCTTCTCTCTGCCCAGGCATGGAGGGGGCTGGACACTGGTGAGTAGTGGGAATGACTGCCACACCTGTCCAGACATGGTGTGCAAGCAGGCCCTCGGCACCCAGGTTACCAGATGGCAGCCAAGATTCCCTAGCAGAGGCTGGTGGGAAGCTGGAAAAGCCCAGATGACGGGGGGTGGTGCCTGAGGGCATCCAGGGAGCAGGGGCATTTCCAGAGGTACACCTTGGGAGGGCAGAACGCAGACAGCGAGGCTGGACCAGCCCAGCAGCGGGTCTTCTGGTGACTACCTGACTGCCAGAGTGAACTCCATCCACACGTCTCCCTTCAGCCCACGTGGTCAGGGACCCTGCTCTGCTCAGGGGTCACAAGCAGGCACAACTCTACAAAGGAAGAATGTGCCAACCTGGCAAAAATGCGATCATCTAATTTTCTAAATCCCTGGTTCCTCTTGATCTTTAAAAATCAGCTTTTTTTAATCTGAAGCTCAGGATGTGACAGAACTCAGGTTGGAGACTTTGGTTTCCAGTGAAAACTCCAGAATGGAATGTGCATCTCAGCCAACATGGCTGGGGCTGCCGACCCTTCAGGCTCCTGTTCCCTCTCTCTGTCTCTCTCTGCTTGTCTCTCTGTCTCTGTCTCTCATTCTGTGTCTCTGTCTCTGACTCTGTATCTCTCTGTCTCTGTGTCTCTCAGTCTGTCTCTGTATCTATCTCTGTCTCTGTGTGTCTCTCTGCATCTGTCTCTCTCTCTGTATCTCTGTGTCTCTCTCTGTATCTCTGGGTCTCCCTCTCTGTCTCTGTGTCTCCTTCCCTCCCCCGTCTCTCGCTCTGCATCTCTCCCTCTGCCTCCCCACCCCCTCTCAAGCCAGACAACAACAGATGATGTAACTTGGATCCCAGGCAGCCAGCTAGTTGTATCTGAAGAATCCACGTGTTTTAGGTGTTTCAGAATTACACCCTCTTTCTCATGGGAACACATCTGGGGGCTCCCCCTCCCCCTGGAACAGAGCACCCAGACCCTGACACGACCAGCCAGGTGCCCCAGGATCTGCAACCCCTGGAGCCCAGAGACCTCCTTGCTCCTGGAAAACAAGTCTCTTTCCGTCCAACAGCCCTGCTAACAAGCAGGTCATGGCCGCTGGCAACAGCACCTTAATGACAATCGCAGACTCGGCCAGAGCGGCCAGCCTGGCGCAGACGGACAGAACAACCTCCCCCTTCCAGGTCATCATATTCGAGCACTGCACTCCAGGTGGGCCTGGTGGGGACACGCGGGCCACTCACCCCACGCATGGGCCATGACTCCGAGCAGTGGTGCCTGGACCCGTGAGCACGCAGTGGCCATCCCTGTCCACCAGGAGCGCCTTTGGCACAGGAGAAAAGAAAAGCCTACGTGTCCTTATGCAGTGTGAATGCAAGTTTCTGGCCCTGAATGCGACTTTTTCTAACCAGCGATGCGTCAGAGCCCCACTGGGGCTGTCAGGAACCACCAGCACTTGGGTGTGTGTGGCGTGTTCCCTCGTTAGGAAAGGGTGGGCACATGGAGGCTGAGATCAAATGGGATTAAAGGCTAGAAAAGCATCTATACTGTTTGATCTCAGTTTTGTTTGAATAGGTTTTCAATGCAGAAAAGTCTGAAGGTGGAGGGGAGAAAAGAGGGAAAATCATTCCAGATTTTTACCTTTACAGAGGCACAAATAAATTGCAGGCGAGATAAGGAAAGGGGGAGAAAGGAGAAGACTCAGTGCTCCGAAGACAGCCTGGGTCCTCGCAGGGCGTGGGCAGGAAGGAGCGTGTTCTGGGGCTGAGAGAGACCAGCGTGCGTGGCTGAGGGGCAGGGATGTCCTGGAAGATGCAGAACGTCAGGACCCATGCTGTGCTGTGTGCAAGTTAGAGGCTGTCTCCCAACTCCTCCAAGATTACAGATGGAGTTTAGCGCCAGTAGAGACCATGGATGAGAATCTAGGCTTCCTTTACAGATGGGGAAACCGAGGCACTCATGGGGAGTGACTGGTACCTGGCCCCGGTTCTGTCCCGTTTCCTCATTCTTTGTCTACAACTTTCCCTTTAAATCTCAGCCGTCTGGGGAAAGGAAAAAGGCTGTGGAACAAGTGTGCAGTTTCTTTCAGCCACTGAGGTTGAGGCAAGGAGTGGGCAGCACGATGGTCATTCATAACCATCTTATTAGTCAGCTCGGCTGCTGTAACAAAAACCATGGCCTGGGTGGCTTCAAAAACAGACATTTGTTTCTCCTGAGTCAGGAGGCTGGACGTCTGGCATCAAGATGCCTGAAGCTTTGTCTCCTGTGAGGACTCTCCTCCTGGCTTGTGGATGGCCACCTTCTCCCCGTGTCACTTCTCACTCAAATGGCAGAGAGGGTGAACTCTGGTCTCTCTTCCTCTTCCTATAAGGAAGCCAATCTCAGTCTGGGGGCCCCACTCCCATGACCTCAGCTAAATCTCATCACCTTCCAAAGACCCCACCCCCAAATACTATCACCTTGGGGGTTAGGGCTTCAACCTGTGAAACTGGAGGGACACAAACATTCAGTCCATAAACCTGGTGCACCTGGATAGATATGGCCACTGCACAACCCTAGGGGGCACAGGTCACATCCTGGTCTGTGGACAGATCCCCGGGGTTGTGCAGTGCACAACTTGTACACCCATCCACAGTGAACCTGAGCCTGGCATCCACCAGTCACTTTGAGCTAGCCTGCATTTGGGGTCCTCTCCCTGCTAGTGGGGCCTCCTTTAACAAACAGGTGATGCATTAGAATGTTAAAGCAGTGAGGAGGCTACAACCCAGGTGCAGGAGCCCAGGAGCCCTGGAGAAGACAAACCTGTCCCAGGAACATGGGCCTGGGACGACTTCACCCCGCCTTGGGTCCGTTATCCGATTTTGTCCTCTCCTCAAGGCCATCAGGTAGGCATTGCTGTCCTCGAGTTACAGGTGGGTAGCACTGGGGCTGTGAGGCCAGACCATGGTTAGACCCTTGAATCCCAAACTCCAGCCGTAGCTGGCTCCAAAGCCAGAAAGTGGCCCTGGGTCCTGCAGCCTTTGTCAGCTGAGAGGGGCCCAGGAAGCAAAAGCACTTCACAGTCAAGCGATGGGCCGCCGGGTGACCACACATGCGCCAATGTCACCCCGTGAGGCCCCTGAGCGCCATACCATCTGCCTCATGCGACGCAAACCTGGTAAGTCACAGGGGCTGGCTCTCAGCTAGTGTCTTCCATGGGCGGGGACAGAGCTGGACATTTTATGCCCATCAGCTCGTTAAGCCTCGATTCGGCCAGCCTCAGGCAGAGAACCAGACAAGCAGGAGATGCGGACGGATTGACCACGTGTCGGCTCGTGGGCCTGGGGTGCTGGCAGGGCAAGTGGGAGACCCACAGGGCAGGCTGCTGGGGGGCGGGCTGGATGCTCTGGGACAGGGTCCTGGCCCCTCAGGGAAACCTCCACTCTGCTCCGGTTGAGTCCTGCCCTCCCCTCCTGGATTATTGAGGAGGGTCGCCCTCATCCAAGTCAACACACCCACCAAACACCTAGGCTGCCGTGTGACTGACACTGGGCTCCAGCGCCTCCTCAAGGGGACTCAGGAATCGTGGTCCCGATGTTACCTGCAGTTGACGGATGGTGGCACGGAGACCCAGAGAGGACGTGCAGCCCGGCCAAGGTCACGTGGCCAGCCCGTGGCCACAGGGGAATGGGAGGCTGGGCGCCACCTCCCCTGCAGCTCTCGGGAGGCCTCACTGAGGTCCAGGTCCCCAGGAGTCCCCACACTGTGCCCTCCAGGGGGGACAGACCGCTCACCAGGTCCTCCGCACAGAGGCAGCCGAGACAGATACATGCCAGTCCTCAGGAAGCTCTGTGCTGGGCACCCGGCGGGCTCTGGACAGATCATTCATTCACCGGCAGGAGGTGAGGTGCCCCGGGATGCATGACAACAGGGACCCGACTGGCGGCGCTGAGGAAAGGCTTCTCGGAAAGTGACATTTAAGCTGATTTCAGGATGACAAGAAACAGTGAAACAGGCTACCAGTGCCTGCTCTCACCACGGAGCCTGCAGTGTTCCGGCAGGAGCACGGCCTCCCATGTATGAGTGTATGTTACTAGACTGGGGGACAGTGGGTCTTCAGACATGAGTCCTGGGCAGCATTCAGTGGCCGAGGGCAGAGCATCGATGAATCGATCCATCGGACCCGTCCTTCCTGGGCGCGTTGGCTGGGGGGAGGGGGGAACCCTCGCAGGGAGACAGGGGGGTGATGGCTCCTGGGGTCCTGCACGGAGCACCCGCTGAGATGGGCCTCGCCCGTGTTCCCCCTGACTGCCCACGCCATGTCCACGGCAGGCGCTCCTCGTGACTCCCTGGGGCCATGCTGGGCTACCGGAGGATGAAAACCAGGTCTGGAGCTCCTCCGGCTTCCTCCATACCCTGCCATCCCTCCAGACCTTGCAGGGGACCCCCGTGATCTAGCAGATGAGGTCTCTGTGGCCACCACCTGGCTGGACTAGACGGGTGACACCTTCAAGCCTCCTGTGGAGGAGGAAATGTTGCTCTGTGTCCAC